TAGCTCCAGCTGCTGACTCCTCTCCCTCTCCTTCACTGGATCCCTCCAGAATGGTTCTGTTCAAATCGTCCCTCAACTTCTCCGTCGATTTGTTCATTATGTCCCTCACGGTCTCCACCATAGTTTGTTTCGCTTCCTTCAATGCCTCATCTATCATCCGTTGTTTCTTGCCTGGAGGTGTTCTAGGCAGTGAGTCTCGCGGTTTAAATATTTCCTCGAGATGTTCATCCAATTCCTTTTCCCCTTGCTTACGCTTCTTATCCATTCTATGAAATGGCGAAGGTGCACCTTCGCCAATTTTTCGAAATCCACTTCACAAGGTGCAAAACCGAAATTGGCCCGCAAATTACGTTAAATGTCCATAAATTTCAAAACTTTTCCGAAAAACAGCCCGTATTTTAGTTCGAAAGTCCGTAGAAGTACAACTCCGTTTTTATCGATTTGGTCAGTGTTTTTACGTGCTTCAGTCCAATGCCGAATTCCGTTTTTCGAAATTGCATGGGATTAATAAAAAACTATTATACACTTTTTATGTCTCTATCACTTTGCTTTGAAGATTACCAATGCCAAGTACCTTTTTATGTGTCCCTTTTCACTTTAACAATCACTTGATAACTAATACCACTAACAGGTTTCAAATTCATCCGTTCTAACAAACACGTCCACTCTCGACAACAGCTGAACGTGAAGTCAAGTAAGAAAGGACAGAAAAATTGTAAAAAATCATATTGATTATGATACGATATTGGCGGCTCATCAAGCTGATCCTAGAATTAGTTTGAGGAACTTATCGTTTCAACTCAATATGAGCCGCAGTAAAATATGGAGGTGTTTAAAGAGGCATAAAATGCATGCGTTCAAACCCAAATTTTTACATACTTTGCACGAAGGAGATGAAATCCGCCGTATGGAGTATTGTTTATGGATGCAGGGAAATTATCTCAATGACAGGAATTTTTTAAAGTATATCTTATACAGTGATGAGGCTATCTTTACCACGGATGGTGTTGTATATTCCCAGACCATGAGGTTTTGGGCAGAACGAAATCCAAATTGGGTGGTGAATTGTAGAAACCAAATATCTTAGAAAGTTAATGGGTGGTGTGGTATCCTGAACGAAAATATAAACGGACCATATTTTTACGATCAAAATTTGAACGGACGACTATTCGTTGATTTTCTCGAAAATGCATTTTCCGATGTGTTGGAAGAACTACTTTTGGCTGTGAGACAAAGGATGATTTTTCAGTTAGATGGTTAACCAGTTCACAATAGTGGCATAACAAGGGTTTGGTTGAATAGGAATCTACCTATGAAATGGATAGGACCCAATAGCCCTCTCGTAGTATGGCCACCACGATTCCCAGATTCGACTCCACTGGATTTTTATTTGATAGGCCAACAAATAAGAAAGATCTCCTTGCAAGAATTACACAAGCGTGTAGAGAAATCACACCTAGAGAACTGGAAAGAGTTGGAGGAAATAATAGAAGGCGCATTGAAAAATGTGTTCGATTGGAGGGAAATTTCATAGAACGCACGATAATATAAAATTGACAACAGTTAATTCATTTGAAATTGATTGTTATGTTTTTTAATTGAGAAAGTGATTTGAAAGTAGTACTTCGAAATAATTTTGAACTACATTACATTTTTCGCCACAAAATATCCTTGTTTGTTTTTAAATAATGGAAAAATGGGAAAATGAACTAACATCAACCATCCTAAAACCTCACTGATTACATGTTTCCGTTCCTCTTACAAAATTACCATTTTCTCTTTTATTGAGAAGGAATAACTTTCCTGACAACAAAATAAAAAATAAATTATTTATGTGAAAACAAAAGTCGAGTTTCTCTTGAAGTCAAAACCAAAAAATAATCTACTTCAATTATTACGGAAGATACGGGGGTGTTTCCATGAGAAGTGAAACAAATTCGGATTTTTCAGGACTGAAATTTTTTCAGGAAAAAAAAAGTGTAATCGTAGTAATTTGGTAGTCCTGATTACGAATCTGAAGGAATTTTGAGCCTATTTTGCCCCGTAATATGTTTTACCGTAAAAATGGGGTGTTCCATCGCGAGTGGCGGACAGTGTATATCACTTTGGCCAACCCCATACAGGTGGTAGGTGAATTATGAGCATTTCCATCAGTCTTGAGAGTTTCATCGTTCCACCTCAAATATTACGGAAGATACGGGGGGGTTTCCGTTAGAAGTGAGACAAACTCGGTTTCAGGACTGAATTTTTTTCAGCAAAAAAGTGTGATCATAGTAAGAGAACAATCAAAAATTGGAGGCAAACCGCGGACACGTGTTTCTGACTATTGGCCTCATTAACACGGTGCAGTCAATTGCAAAGATGGAGAACAACTAGTTATCAAAAATTAAAAACTTCACATATGCACGGTGTCACCAACAGGAGCTAACCGCACATTTGTGGTTTCAATTAGAAGACCTAGCATTCCCAGGCCTCATCTAACATCACCACGAAGGCAGCTATAGTGACTTCCGGGTCCAAGATATAAATACAGAGATTGTGTGTGTATGATATAAATCAAAAGGGAAAATTTGTGGACAGAATACTCAAAAAATGGATGCAAACTGCGGACACGTGTTTCTGGCTATTGTCCTCATCAG